GTTCAAGGGGGACGTAAAGGAATTGGGAATTGGGGGGGGGGGGAAATATGGCCATCCCAGGGGGGGGGGGGTTGGGTTTTCCAAGGCCCCCCAACGGAGGGGGAAGGGGGTCCCGGGAAAATGGGTTTTTTTTTTTGTCGTTTGGCCGCCCTGGTAGTAGGGAAAAGGGGGGGGGGGGGGGGGCCCCCCCCGGGCTTTTTTTGGTTTTCCCCGATTTGATTGGGGGGCCCGGGGTAAATTTTCCCTTTTTGGTTTCCCCTTGGTTTTTTCCCCTTTGGTTTTTTTTTTTTTTTTCCCCCAGTTTTTTTTTTGCCCCCCCCCCCCCCCGCTTGTGTACTCCCTTCTCCCTCCCTCCCTCCCTAACCCAGCTGAAGGTGATGAACCTCAACACCTCCGAAGACAAGCGAGAGAAACCAACCAGGCGCGCCCCTACATGGAACCAGTACTACTTCCGTCTCAAGGAGGAGACCCTCACCAAGTCTCCCCCGCGACGATCGTCCTTCCCCGGTAACGCCAACCAGCAAGCCGAAGACATGAAGCTCACGTCGGCTACGATAACGTCGTACACCAACACTAAGAACTGCTTCTGCGTCCGTACCGACGATGTGAGTTTGGGATTTGGGATCATGATGTGAGCGTAGGAGGGAAGTGGGATCATGATGTGTGCGTCGACTCTGCATGAGTTGTGGTGGCAGGAAGTTGGATTTGGTCAAAATGGGGTTTTCATGAGGGCCCCTACCGAACGCCCCGCGCACGATTGAAGTTGGAGCTTACAGCTAGGGCTGTCATAGTGCAATTACCGTTTTCAGGCGATGTGTCTGACCCCAACAGATTTCGCGTACGAAGTATGCATATTTCCCCTAAACCATGTGCCTCGCCCCCCTCTGTTGCGCTCGCCTGCTGTGTAGTTGTGTACAATGTTGTGCCCAGAGGTGTCTTGGTTGTCCATATCTTGGTAAATACTTCGCCTATTGAGTACCGTATGTCTCCCCCCCCTCTGTTATGCTCACGTGTTGTGTACGTGTGTACGCCGTTGTGTTTGTGTTTGATGCTATCATACGTAGGTGTCGTGGTTTCTGCTTGCAAGAAGCCTGGACGACATGAAGAGGTGGATGACCGCAATCAACCTCCGTGCGAGGCACATCTTCCAGAGAGAACACGGGGTGCACGACGACTACATGGGACAGGGGTGAGCTATACAAGGACGACCCGAGACTTGCGCTAGATACACACCACCACAGCCAACAAGCGTCAGAACCGGCAATGACGGCGTCATGAACAATACCCAACCGCAAGGATGATATTTCGTCCCCAAAACTGATCATCAGAATATATACCCAAACACAGCAAAACGCACCCACTCAGACATTGTTGAGAGATCCTACATATACACATGGCGATTTCGATACAACAAATCACGCCCAACCATTATGTTGTTGAGAGAACCCACACATCCACATGACGATTTCGATGTTGCTGCATCCCCAAAAGTGGAAATATAAAAACACCCACAAACGAAACAGTAGTCTATATACGCAGGTTTTCAAAGTAGGCAAACATGCTGGATGATGTAAAGAATGGCCTAACTCGGGATGAGTGTTGGTTTCTGCGCGCCCTTTCTCTGGCATTTTTTCGCAATGAAGGTACTTTCTTGCCTAGGCAGTCCAAATAAGAGAAACAAACCCACCCAACCATCAATTGGCCTACCGTGTTGTACATGTTTTTTGTTTTTTTCAGTCGCAGAGGGAGGTTCTTCTACCGCATGGTGGAGGGCTCGGTACCGCAATGGATACTCACGCACCCAATGACCAAGGCCCCGCGCACGGGCGATGGGCTTTTTCCCGGCGAGGTGGTTGAGGTGACGCAGGTCAGTCATTAATCCAGTCACTTGTCAGTAGTTCCCACGAACGGCTGCTGTCTGTCTTGTGCCTCGCCGCGGCTGGCTCCTCAAGGGCAAGAATCGATGCGTCTTTTTTTTGTGTGTTTGGTGGGTCCTGTCCAGCAAGCACAAAATGCTTGAATGATTGCCTAGAGGAGACGGAGGAGCTGGGTACCGACTCGTGAAATTTTGTAATTTTTAATTTCAGAGAATACACTTGCTGTTGTAGAGCGTATGCATATGTATGCGCAATCATTCACAGGAAGACTACCCGTTGGAGATAATACCCCCCAATGTTTTTGCTGGAAGAAAGGCCAGCAGTTGTTGCGCCCCCGCCCCCCGATATTTGCCACGTGCTGGTGAGGGGAGTGAGGGCAGGGATGGGTGCAACTCCCCCCGCCCCCTTGAAATGGCTTTGAACGGGTGCCCCGTCCA